CAGCTCAAGGTTAGCGCTCTACCACTTGAGCCACAGCGCCACTTCCGGCTTTTTTCTTTGCTTATGTGGTGCTGAGGAATGGAACCCAGGGCCTCAGGCATGCAAGGCAAGCGCTCTACCACTGAGCCACCTTTCCAGCTCCTCCCTGACCTTTTTTGTTCAAGGCCAGTGCTCTACAGCTTTAAGCCACAGTGCCATTTCCAGTTTTCTGGTGGTTAATTGGAAATAAAGAGTCTCAAAGGTGTGAGCCACTGACGCCCTGCTTATGTGATTATCCGTTATGGGGCTTGAACTCTGGGCTTGGGCACTGTCCCTCAGCTCTTCAGCTCAGGCAAGTGCTCTACCACTTGAGCCACAGTGCCATTTCCAATTTTTTGGTGGTTTATTGGAGATCAGAGTCTCACGGACTTTCCTGCCCCGGCTGGCAGGAACTGTGAACCTCAGATCTCAGCCTCCTGAGTAGCTAGGATTATAGGCATGAGCCACTGGCACCTGGCTTCCAGCCTCATTTTTTGCTTTATTTGGTGCTGAGTATTGAACCCAGGGCCTTGCACATGCTAATTACACATTCTAGCACTGAGTTATATCCCTAGTCCCTAGTCCTATCCCTGCATTTTGACTGACTTGTTGTGACATCTGATTTTGAATAATTTTGAAGTTCCAGATTGGAATCCTCGGGCCTTATTAAGAAAGATAGTAGCTGGGGGGCTGGGAAGGTGGTTCAGTGGTTGAGTGCTTGCCTTGCATGCATGAGGGTTTGAAAGAAAGAAAGAGCGAGCCTGGGCACTGCTCTGAGCTTCTTTTGCTCAAGGCTTAGCACTCTACCACTTGAGCTACGTTACCACTTCTGGCTTTTTCTGTGTATGTGGTAGTGAAGAATCGAACCCAGGGCTTCATGCATTTTTTGCAAGCTCTCTGTCACTAAGCTACGTTCCCATCCAATAATAGTTATTTAATAAGCAAATTAACAAACCAGAATGGAGGTATGGCTTAAGTGATATAATGCTAGCCTTTGGTCAGAAAAGCAAAGCCAAAGAGTAAGGCTGTGAATGTAAGCTCTAGCACTAGCACACATACATAGAGGAAGTCTTAGCTAATCACAAATCATGCCTGTAATCCTACCTACTCAGGAGGCAGAGATCTAAGCCAGTCTAGGCAGAAAAGTTAGTTAATTGGACTATCTCCAATTAAACGGAAAAATGCTGGTCTGGAAGCATGACCCAAGTGGTAGAGTGCTAGCTGTGAGGAACAGACTGAACAAGTTCGAAGACCCTGAATTCAGGCGTCCATACTGGCCATATAAAATAGTTTCTCTGGAGGAAAGTTGTGGTATCACAGGACTCTGGCTGTGTTTCTGTGATAACTTGCCTCCCCTGAGCCTGGTCAGAGAATCAAGTGTGAGGGTTGGGTAAGACAGGTCTCTTGTGCTGTGGAATTGTAGAATTTTTCTGCTTCATTTTCAGCTGGACCAAGCTGACTGAAAGATTCTTCAAGAACACACCATGGCCTGAAGCTGAAGCCATTGCCCCCCAGGTTGGCAACGGTGGGTGTGAACCTTGTTTTCCTTTGTGCTAGTGGGTGCTGTGACAGAAAGCTCAGGAGCGTTTTTTGCGTTTGTTTTGCTCAACATTTTGTTCATGGAGCTCAGTGCATAGCAAGTTGCTAGTAACGTTACTTGTTGAGTGAAGGCTGCATCACTTGGGACAGTCACAGGTCTCTCAGATGTGGTGAAAGGTGGAGTTGAGCTCATTGCTCAACCTGTTTCCCTCTAATAAAGGTCATCATGGCCACTTGGAATTGGCCCAGGAGCTCCTCACCTTTTTCACTTTCTTAGACCATGTCCTTTTTGTATGTGGATAAGGTGGGCAGATCTGACTAGAGTTTGGTTTAGTTTTTGCCATTACAGGGCTTGAACCCGGTGCCTTGCTCTGGATTAGCCTGCTTGGTTATGACTGGTGCTCTGCCACTTGAGCCACACTTTCAAGTATAGCCTTTTTGCTGATTAGTTGGAGATTAGTTGGAGATAAGTCTCTCAACTTTTCTACCAGATTGGCTTTGAACTTTGGACATTAGATTTCAGCCTCACGTAGGTAGGATTATAGTCCTGAGCCATAAGTGCCTGGCTGCGTTTTTTTGTTTGTTAGTTTTTAGGGGGCAGGGATGGTGGTGCTGGGGATTGAATCTAGGCCTTGCACATGCTGAGCAAATGCTCTACCACATCCCTAGTCCCCAACTTCATCATTTATCATGGGAAAATCCATCTATCCCAGACATACTTCTTTTTCTTTTTTTTTTTGGTCTGGTCATGGGGCCTGAACTCTGGGCTTGGGCACTGTCCCTCAGCTCTTCAGCTCATGGCTAGCGCTCTACCACTTGAGCCATACTGCCACTTCCAGCTTTTTTTTTTTTTGCTTATGTGGTGCTGAGGAATCAAACCCAGGGCCTCAGTCATGCAAGGCAAGCGCTCTACCACTGAGCCACCTTCCTAGCCCTCAGACATATTTCTTGTTGTTTGGTTTTTTGTTTTGTTTTCTCTGTAGTGCTGTGATAACACCCAGGACCCAGCACAAACTAAAGAAGTGCTGAGCCATTGATCCCCTTAAACAAGCTATGAGAAGACCCCTCTCTTCCCTACTGAATAGTCTTGGTTCTTTGTTGAAGTCAGTTGATGTGATAGAAGAGTCTCTTTCTGGATTCCATCCTTCTGGTCTGCGTCTGTCCTCAGGCTGACACTGCACTATTGATTGCTGTTGCTTTATAGGAAGTTTGAGTAGCTTACTCAGAAGCCTGAGATCTGATGAAGACTGAGGTTTGAAGGCTGCCTGAGAATAAAAATCTATGGGACTTGAGCTGGGAAGGTGGCTCAGTGGTAGAGCGCTTGCCTTGCATGCATGAGGCCTTGGGTTCGATTCCTCAGCACCACATAAACAGAAAAAGCCAGAAGTGGCGCTGTGGCTCAAGTGGTAGAGTGTTTGCCTTGAGCTGAAGAGCTGAGAGACAGCGCCTAGGCCCAGAGTTCAGGTCCACGACTGGCAAAAAAAAAATCTATGGGACTTTTTTTGTTTGTTTGGTTGTGGGGCTTGAGCTCAGGGCCTGGGTGCTGGCCCTGAGCTTTTTTTTTTTTTTTTTGCTCAAGACTGGCATT